GTAGACAATGTTAATGGTTTAGCAACCAAAAGTTCTAACATGTTATGTCTTTTAGAGTTAGATTCTTAGGGTTAGATTCTAGATTTAGAACTATTTTGTTTTAATGATTCAAAATTGCATATTTAATATTGAGTAGTTTATATTTTGTATATATGATATTTGGTACAATGATTAAGATTATTTTTATAATCAATCAAACGTTTAGGGTTTGAGATTTGGGGTTTAGGGTTTGAGATTTCTGGTTTGGGGTATAGTAGACTTACAGTTAAGTCTACTTATATGTAGACGTCTATTTCAATCTACGTTAATTTGTATTTACCAAAATAAATTATTTTAAAATTAAAATTAACTAAGTGGAAAGTGAAATGAATTTTGGAGCCTATTTTTCCATATTGGCGCCAATATTTAGGGTATAGTAGACTTACAGTAAAGTCTACATATATGTAGATGTCTATTTTAGTCTAAATTAATTGGTTTTTATCAAAAAAAAAAAAAATTAAAATTAAAAAAAAAAGAGAGAGACATACTTACTCTCTCTCGAAACCGAAACCCTATCAACACAAGTCTCTTATCTCTTTATCTTCTTTTCCCCAGCCACAGAACAACAAGATTTACAAGAGGAGGGTGACCGGAAGTTGCGAATGGATCAAAGCTTAGTTGGGTCGGATCCAGGAAGAAACCCGATGACTCTCTACCATCCACAAGGTCAGATTTTCTATCTCTATATCTATCTCTTATCTCTATCTCTACCTCACTCTCTCAGTTTGGAATCTGACTGTGTTTTGAAAAAGGTGAACCCACGGCGGAGCTTCTCTTCCTCTGAAGCAGAGACGGAGAAGACAGAGGAAGAGGAGGACGGTGGTGAAGATATATGATGGTGTGCGACATTCAATACCACCACCAAAAGCTCGGTACTTTCTCCTCTTAGTTCTTTCTTAGGGTTTCGATTTGGGGGATTTTCTGGTTTGGGTTTCGATTTGTCTTGACAATCTGTTACTGTGTCTAGGAGAGAGCTCGGAGACAGTGGAGAGAGCTCAAATGATCGATCCTTTATGGTTTATATAACTAATATCCTATCATGGCAGCTTTGATCTTGGTTGCTTGTATCTATTATTACTCTCAACCTGTCCCTATGACAACTTGGGTCAGAGCACTCTTGTATCCTTTTTGTAAGAATTTTCTTCTTGGCGCTGCATTTGTAGCTGTGGCCTTTCTTCTTTTAGCATGCCAGAAATTCAAAAAAACGTTCAGGTTAGAGTTTTGTTTATTCATTTATAATAGCATTCAGATTGTTTTCTTGAATTATAATTGGTTTGAATCATTGCTTATTTGCCTTAGCAGCACCAGAGAGCCGTAGAAGACCAGATCTAATGTTTAGCAGAATGGAAGAAGTTACAAGTGAAAACGAGTCTCCTTACATATTCAAGCCTAATGAGTTTCCACTTTTTGAGTTTCAAGTGTTAGCTAAATCAACGGATTAATTCTCTCACATGAACAAGCTGGGACAAGGCGGTTTTGGACCTGTTTACAAGGTAAAACATTAAACAAGAACCCTTCTGACAATAGATATGTGTAATATGAGTGTGTGTTTTGTTTTCTCAAGGAAAGTTACCAGAAGGGCAAGAGATTGCAGTAAAGAGGCTCTCACGTGCATCTAGAAAAGGACTAGAGGAACTTATGAACGAGGTGGTTGTGATTTCGAAGTTGCAGCATCGCAATTTAGTAAGAGTACTTGGCTGTTGCATTGAAGGTGAAGAAAGGTTGCTTGTCTATGAATACATGCCAAACAAAAGCTTGGATGCATATATATTTGGTAGACTTTCTCACCTCTGTTTTTAAACTCTGTTTTCTCTCAACTCTTTTTTTTTACTATCTAGTAATGCTTTTCTCAGACCCATCTAAGCCAAAGATTCTTGATTGGAAGACACGGTTCAACATCATGGAAGGGATTTACAGGGGTCTTATGCGTTTGTTCATTCCCTATTTTTTAAAATGTATTTTTTTGTTGTGAGGTAGCCGAAAGTTGTGTCATTTAATCATGTTGAGTTGGCGTTGAAATTATAAAGGCATCCGTGGTCTCTTTTGCTTAGAGCAAGAGTGACTTTGTTGTTTCTTATTCTTGGTTGAATAAACAAATGTCTTAAACTTTTCACTCTATTTTTGTGACAGGTTTATGCTCTGTTGTGTGGGACTGATGAGAGGCTCATAAGGAAGGATATTTCCATGTTCGGCAATCTGTTCTTTTTGTTGAAGAAAAAAAACTCATTAGTAATTGTGACAAGACGCTTGTGTAAGTTCTTAAGATTCTCTAAGCTCTTTGAGTTTTAACCTTGACTTCCATGCAGGAAGATGCTTTGGGATCGAGGAGGAACTCACATGTTACTTCTTGGATCTTTGCTTCTTATGATGTTTAGATTATGTTTAGTGTTTGAGAACCTCATTAGTTAGGTTTTATATATTGTCTACATTTGCAGGTTTTTCACAGAGAAGGTCTATGCTCTAGCATTTCATCTTCTTGAGTATGTTGAGGTAAGATTCTGACCGAACTTTTGTGTGTTCATCTTAAAGGTTCTGTTTTCAGAATTTTGATGAATTCTTGTTTTAGAAGTGAGAAGCGATAGAGTTCGGGGATGGCAGAGTTAGGCGAACACTCGACGGTCAGAAGATGAGACGTAAATGAGGAAGAGAAGATAATACTTTAGTTCTGGTTTAGTTTTTCTTTTTGGTTTTACTTAGATTTTCTTAATTCTGGATTAGTTTTGTAAATCGGAATTTATATATTTTACATTGGAATCTCTTTTGATATTCCACACTTTTAGATCAATTACTGCAACAATCATTTGTTGCTCAAGCAAACACTGAGCCTATTAATAGTTTGTATATTTGTCATTGTTTTGGTATAAAAGAATCCTTCCTTCCTGAAGCATGTTCAACTACTACTCTGTAATTGCTACAAAATCAAAAGCTTATATATGTATGTATGTATGAGGAGGTGATATAAGTCTATCTCGCATAAGTTTGTATTGTATGCAAAAGGATGATAATACACAATTACAACAATAATCATATGTCAACGTGTATCAATTCAGCATACCATACACAAGTTCCTGTAAAACAATATGGTTTACATAATTAGTAAACCAAAGTTTCATGTTTAATAAAATTATACCGTAGACTTACAAGTACGTCTACGATTATTAGCTAACAACATAGACAAACCAAAATTTGATAACTTCCTAATTATAAAAGATTATCTTCTGAAAATCATTCAAGACCCTTATAATTAACTAACACACACTTTCATAAAAATAAATTTTGAAAAAACTTAATGAATAATACACAAATCCACTTTTGATAGAGTTTTCTAGGTAGACCACATATTCAGTCTACAGATGTGTAGACATTTTATTCAGTTTACATTTTGTAGACTGCACATTAGGTCTACGTTTAGGTTGGTTTTTTCAATTGCCAAATTCACGGGTTACTTTCTGTATTTGAAAAAAAAGATGTGATTTTATACGAGTAGACTTACTTTTTAGTCTACATTTTCAAAAATGTTTGTTTTGCAGTTGACCAGAATTCGTTCAGAGTTTGACTTTTAGAAGTAGACTTACTATGCAGTCTACATTTTTAAATTTGTTTGAAAGAGGTTCGTTTTGCAATTGACCAAAGTTGACTTTCTACTAGTAGACAAAACTAAATGTCTACGTAACTGTAGACTGCAGTAAAAGTCTACATTATAACCCGATAGGTTAGTTTTGCAATTGACCAACATAAAATAGTAGACTTCATATGCAGTCTACTTTTTTTTCCTAAGTTTTGTAGACTGCATATGAAGTCTACACGTAAAGTAAGTTTTAGTTAGCTTCTAAATATTTTAGTCAAATACAAAAGAAACCTATTCAACGAAGTCAATGTTTTGGTCAAATGCAAAACTGACCTTCCGTAGACTTACCTAGCAGTCTACAAAGTGTAGACTTCCAAGAAAGTCTACTATGGTAAGTCAAAATTTTGGTCAAATTCAAATCTAACCTCTTTTATGTAGATTTCTTAGTAAGTTTACCAATTTTTTTGTTTTTGGTTTCAAAGGTAAAGACGTTGACGTACTTGTAGGTCTACATTACAAAAAAAATTATTTTGGTCAACTGCAAAAGTAACCTGTGCGTTGACAAGTAGACTGCATCGTAAGTCTACACGTAAGTGTAGACATATAATACAGACTACTTTCGTGATACAGATCAGAGATATGACGAAAATCATGTAAATAGTTACCTTGACACCGGTTTAAAGCTTGTTTCCAAGGTTTATCACCGTCCAGAATCCAAATATGAGCAAAAGAAGCAACCTTTACGATTCACTTGTGAATAAAATCGAAACTATGAAGTTTGTGTTTATGAAAATGAGAGTTATGAGGATTGTTTAGATGAAAATAGAGAGGAAATGAAGTATTGTTTGTTTAGAAAGTGAAATAAGTGGTTGAAAATTCATAAACACAAGCTTAAAGAGCTCATCAATGGTGGTTTTTGGTGGTTGCAAATATTGATGACAATGGCATTGTGGTAAATAAGGAGAAATGTTTAGGGTGTAATAGGTTTTTAATAATTTTCGAAAATAATATCATATTTAATAATAATGGCAATTTGGTAAATAAGTAGAAACATGAGGAGAGTTTAGGTTTTTTAAGAGTGAATAGTAATGACAAAAAAAAAGAGATTGGTTTTGTGTTTGACTTGAATTTTTGGATTGATTTTGTGTTTAACTTGAATTTTTGGGTTGGTTTTGCAAAACCCCACCTTTATGTTTATCCAAACTCTATAATTTTCCTAGCAGCGTTATAAGTTTGTCTTGTCAATCTAAAGTTTGTGTTTAGTATGTTGGTCATATCATATATTCCATGAATACCAATGAATCCATCCAACACATTTTATGCAAATAACTTGGTGTCTTGACGATTAAATTACCATCAGAAGCTTATAACGTTTCTGTGATAATGAAGTTTCCTATTGAAGTAATCGATACATTAGAATAGATTTAGACATCTGAGGCTCTCTTTCCAGGACAGCAACTACATCCTTCACCGAGATTGTCCTCACCACTTTTGGTTGAAGCGACGAACCTTGGTTCTTCCCTAATCTTCGACCACCTGAAAACAAGCCAGAGAGCTATTATATGGGGAAAAAAAACGTGAAGTAAATAAAAAGCGGTTAAAAGAAAAAAAAAACTCACCGGCTCCAGTAAACCGTCGTCCACCGTCTTGCTTGTCCTTCGAGTTTCTTCCTCCACTTGAAGTAGCTTTCTGAGTCCCTTCTTTACCAGCGTCAGATACCGATTTCTGACGAGCTTCCGCCATTAATTGCCATTTTAAAAACGTATCATCTCCTCCGACAGCAGCACGAGCAGCAACGTTTGCAGCTGTCGTTCTCATTTTGTCGTCGTCCTCTTTATTTCCCTTCACACAATAAACCCGAACATTGCCAAGTTACATTCACACTGCCTCCAAAAGTGTGCTTTTAATTTCTAAACTACCTTCAAACCCTTTGAACGGTTATCATCTTTCTCCTTCTCACTATCAACTCCACCATCACCTTCTTCACTCTGCATCATTCAGAAAATATAAAAACAAACTTTTCTTTAGAAAAATAAAGAAGATATTAATGAGCTCAGATTATACCTCACTCGGTTTCTTAAGCTTTTCTGCTTCAGCCTGTTTCTTCTCCCATTCCTCTTTCACTTTCTGGTTCATTTCGTTGATTTGTTGCCGAACATCTGACGTGATAACGGTCCGGTGTCTAGATTTCTCAGTATCAACTCGCTGCAGAAGCAATATTAGCTTCAGAAAGATCAGATACAATTATATGAGGCAGCAAGTAAGAGAAAGTTAGACTGACCTGCTTTGACAACCGTATGATATGAGATAGTAGTCCTCGCATCCTTTCTTCCACACACTGAGAGCACAAATGCATGAGAAAATAAAATAAAAAGGCACAACAGTGTGCAAAACAATGCACAAGAAGTTGACATCTCACCAAAGACAAGCACCGTTCAACATCATTGCTTATCTGCTTCAAACCGACTTTCGCCACTGTCACATATGGAAAAAGACATATAAGTTTCTCCAAGTGATTCGTAAACTTATTAAGTATATAAGAAGATACGGAAAGTATCCTAACTAATTTCCGCCAGCTTTTTCTGCAGAGGAATTTTCTGCAGAATCAATCTTTCTTCCTCTTCGTGCACAACCCTCCGAGATGCTTCAGAAACCCGACCATCCTCCTTTCCCCCGGAGAACAATTGTTCTTCCTCTTCCTAAACCAGGAAAAAAAATTCAGTACTATATAACCATATTTATATTCTAGACCGAAGCTACCAGGAAACGCACCCTGAGATTAACACCACTGACTGCAGTGACATCATTGAGCTGTTCAATACTTTGATCCATAGAATTTGGTACCACTTTTTGCTTCTTGCTGCAAGTTGACCCATGCAAAACAACCACGATTATAGGTTTACGTGAGGAAACCAAAAAAAAAAGAGAAGGGTTTTAAGCTATAAAAAGAAATTCAAATGGCTAACGAAAACGAACGACTTAAAAAAGGTGTAAATAATTTCTAGACAAGAGAAGCTCAATTACCTTGGTGGTGGCGATGAAGAACCTAATGTTTCAAGAGGTTTCTTCTGACCAACAAAAGGTTTTTTGGGTGGCATCCTAGCATTAACTCCTGCTTGGGACGTACCCAATTGACCACGAGAATTCATCTGGTGGACATAAATAATTGGTCAACAAGAAATACTTTCCAGCAATGAACCTTTCCCCAGTTACTAATCAAAGTAGAAATTATCAAAAAAGGCAAAACAAGGAAAGGATTGATGATAAGGTTGTTGAATATAAAAATCCGACTGAAATACCATGGTTGCCCCCAAAAGCTCGAAGGGAAGAGGCAAACAAAGAACAATTGAAACTGAATTTTGTAATGATAAATAGCTCTTACTGCTGTGCTAGCGTTCAGTTGAGTTGTGATGGAAGGAGAAACAGAGCTTGCATGCCCCATGTTTCTAGAGGACTCCTTCTCTAAATCCTCCTTCGAAGTCCCTGAGGCTGCATTCTTCTGTTCAAAACTTTGATCAACTGATTCCTGCTTCACATGGGACATTGATGAACCTTGAGTAGGTGCAGCATTTAGAGGCAACGATGAGCTGTTCTGGAAATGCAATGTAGCACCACCTTGAACCCTACTAGGATCATTGACAGAAGTTGGCCTCTCAAACTTGGGCATAGTCATCATGTTTGTCGTAGACTGTGGCGGTCCTCCAAGACCAGATGATCCCATGGTCTGGTTATGTGTCACATGTCTCATATGGGGATCATGAAGGTGTGGTCTCAATGGGGAACCAGAAACATTGGTGTTTGAACCGGGGAATGAGTGAAAATTACCGGAGCTGGTATACATGGGAAAAGAGCTTGGTGGAAGCTGCATCTGGTGCGGCGGATGTTTGGTAAGCCCCTGGACAGGAACTGAACTGCCTGTTGACGAAGGTAATTGGTTAAGGTGGACGACTCCACGAGGGTCAGACTGAGATTTTTGATTACTGATTTCTGCATTAGAACATATTAAATCAGTAAGGGTTTTGGCTTTTGCACGGAACTAATAAGACACATCTAGGGAAAGCATAACGCTTTATGATGATCGTGAAAAGAAAAGTAAGAATGCATCAGTAAATAATCAGTACCAGAAGGAGCTTGAACTCCCATTTTTCCCTGGTTATAACCCACCTGAAAGCGACCACAAATTACCAATAAAGAAGTATTTAAAAGAGATTATATATATAATAAACGATTACAATCGTAAATCTAACTTAAAAGAAAAACACCTTAATCCTAATGCAAAAGGGATAAACACCAAAACGATTACAAACGCGGTGTGGGACAACCGCAAGTCAGTAAAACCATATGACTAATCAACCCAGGCGCAACTCTGATACCCTAAGAAAAGACTATAATCATCTAAGATAACACACTGTGAAAAGGTATATTTAAACTGTTTGGTTGTGATTTAAAATCGGGAAAGTTCAGGGTTTTGCTTAATATAATATGTTATCCTACTAATTTGTTGAACTACTGCAAGAAGTGAAAGCAGAAAAGCATGACCATGCAAGTACGAGCATCTGGTTAAGGATTTTGAAAAAGAGGGTCAAGATATACCAAAAGTTTGCGCATTCATTGAACTCTTAACTGTAAAAATAACAATAAAGTATCGGGAAAATTATCAACTAAAGAATTCCTATAAATTGTATCCACTCGCAATCTAATACCCAAGTTAAATGCGTAGTAGTACTAGTTTCACTACATAACACAATATATGCAAAATGGTAATACCTGCTGTAGTTTACTAACTGCTAACCTAAGCATCTGATCGCCTACAATATCCTTCATATGTCGTGTGAACCCCTCTTTGGGGATTTCATTTTTCTGCAAACAAATATCGGAAGGAAATCAATGAAAATGCAATATCTGTGGAGCAGAAAGTCAAGTGATTTCACAGATAGACTGGCATACCTTAAGTCTAGAATATAGGGTACGGAGCTGCAGCGCTCTGTCTTTGTCCAGTTGGGCCATTAAGGTAGGAAGCAAAGCAGCAAATGGAACTTGCTTAGGGTTTCGGTTCAGAGGATTAACAGGCTGTTCCACTCCACGAGCCTGTTGAGTACTCATCTTTTGCATTTTTAAAAACTGAGATTCAGTCTCTTGATTATGAGGTCTTTCTGGTTCACTAGCAGTAGGATTCTTTTCAGAAATCTGCATCCCAGCTGTTTGGGGAACCTGCGAAGGATTCTCCCAAAGCGGACCTGGTCGATGAAGGTCTTGAGGCTGGTTGTGTTGCAATTGAGATTCATTTGCACGTTGTAAATCATGTTGGTGTTGACCGTCTAAAGCCGATCCTTGTTGATCCTTCATCTGAGTGCTTTCAAGGCTATGCGGTGTCTGGAGATTCATATTGGCATCTCCTATACCATCCTTCCATGTAGTTGTAAACTGTTGGTTGGGAGAATGGGTGCTTCCTAGAGAAATAATTCAAGCAATAGACTGATGTAGCTCAAATCCTCATTGTATAATACAATTTGTATTACAATATCTAATGCAGAGAAAGGAAAGGGGCAAGAGAACTCTTCCAACAACAGAGGCAAACGAACATCATAAATGTCTACGGTAAAACAGTATCAAGACTACTATCTAGCCCGGCTAATAAGTCTAACCAAACATTGATCAATTCGAGTGACTCAACAAGCTGACAGAGACGAAACTGCAAGTGACATTACTTACGCTTAAAAGAAAAAAACAAGATTTGCCTCCTAAAATATAGCTTAATTGTATATCTGAACTTTCCTCACATGTCAGTAGATTAGCGAGGTTTATAATACCCATATACCAAGAGTAATAATAATAAACTATCTTAACCAAGGATTCACAAGTATAGTAGCCCTCGGAGGTCAATTTTGCCATACCAGGAGGAGTATTCGTGGAAAGTGAAGTAGAACCTTCAATGTCTCGATTCAGAGCGGCCTGGAACGCGTCCACATCAGCTCCCGAGTGCATCGATTCATCCTAACCACACACACACACAAAATTCGCTGGAATTATAAAATCACGACGAGTCTCTCCAGACACCGAGCATACATCAATCACACAGAGCAGATAAAGGATTTTAGAAACGAGTGAGATAAGAAACCTAACCTCGTCTTCTTCGAGGAGCTTGAAAATTGAAGGATCCATTGATTAGGGAAAAGAGCAGGGCAGGGCCAAGAGACGAATTTAGAGGAATGTATCTAAGTAATTATGAACAACATCCTTCCTTTCTATTATAACTGAAAATTGCGGATGAGTCCTTATGTAACTAAGTAATTAGGTTGGATATTTGGTTATCTTTTTCGGGTTTAGAATGTTAACTCCAAATTGGAACCTTTTTTTTTTTTTTTTGTCAATTCCCGTCTTCAAAGAATCAAGTGTTAGACGAGTCTGATACATTTCGAAGAAATGCTCTATCTGTCTAGATTTGATCTATATGGGTAAAAAGAGTATTGTTATTCCTTGCCTCTTTAACGAGAAAATCTGTACACACATTCCTAGTCTTGGGTATTCGAGAGATGCTATAATCCGAGAAACCGGATCTAATATGTCCAAAAGATATTAGCTCGAAAACAAAGGTCGGCCAGTCAGCAGGGCAGCTAACATATCCACCAAGTCGGAGCAATATATCTCCATGTGGATCGTATTACAATGGAGCTTTCTTAAGTAAGACATCGCTCAAATGAGTTATTCCATCTTGATATGGAGGACTAATAGCCTCTTCCGTCATTCTTATTATCCAAATATTTTGACTCCTATCTGTTTTATTAAAATAGAATCCTAAAAAAAAATCTACTATAAAAAAGAGTATAGTTGGACCATTAATTAGTAACTTAACAAATTAACAAAAAAATAAGGAAAATTTGGAAAAATACTTTTCAAAGAGATTTTATTTTGAAAATTCTATAATTTATTTCTTTTGAAAACTACACTTTTTCTTAAGTTAAATGACTATATTAATTATCCTAATAAAATGTAAAATTACAATATTTTGTGTGAAGAAATTTTCCAGTCGTTTGAAACTTGTCAAGTTTTGATCCAAAATCTTTTTCGTTGTATAAGTTTTTCTATATTTTTCCATCTTTTAAAATTTCTGAGCATGCTAATGACCAATGCTACGATTAACGAGCACATCGATTTATCACTCACTAGTACTTGTTCCTAGTTCTATAATCATTCAATGGAGAATTTTTTATTTTATAAGTTGCAGGTTTAATGAGATGACAAATTTTAAATGATAACTTTGTTGCGTCAACTTCTCTAGTTATTAGATTTATATAACATTGAAGTATTTTAAAAGATTTATCCTTTATATATTTTAAATCAATAATTTTGAAATTGAATATTTAATCATCAAAAGATAATATTTAACTTAAACCTGGTCAAAATGTCTTTTTACATATTTTGACAAGTATAATTTTCAAAAATAAATTATCAAGTGCAATTTCCCAAAATAGTTTATTTTTTAGTTTTCATCTTAAAAATAGTACCTCAATTTGAAAATTATAAAAATGACATTTTTAATACGATAAAAGACTTTGATACCCCTACATATCAATATAAAAAATGAATCATAAACCCATAACCTCAACTCCCTTACTATCAACTCTTAACATTACTATCAACACTAAAGTCTAAACCCTAAAAATAATAACTATATACCTTCAACCCTAAACCCTAAAACATTAATCCTAAACCCTAAACCTTTCTAAATCCTAAACCATCAACAATGAACCCTAAACCCTAAATAAAATTATCAATCTTTTAACATTAAAAAAATTACCTTAAATCTTAAACCTCAATTCTAAACCCTAAATCTTCAACTTTAAACCTTACTAGCAACACTAAACCATAGAAATAAACTCTAAATCCTAAAACCTAAGTCCTAAATAACAATTCTAACTTTAAACCCTAACATTCAAATCTAAACCCTAAAACATTAACCCTAAACCCTAAGCCTGACTTCTAAACCCAATATCATCAACATAGAACCCTAAACCCTAAAAAAAACTCAAAACCTTAACCCTATAAAATTACCCTAAACCCTAAACCTTCAACTCTAAACCCTAAAACATAAACTCTAAATCCTAAACTTCAACTCTAAACCCTAAAACATAAACTCTAAATCCTAAACTTCAACTCTAAACCCTAAACCCTAAAATCTAAACTCTAAACTTTACTATCAACACAAACCTTAAACCATAGAAGTAAAATATAAATCCTAAACCACAGTTCTAAACCCTGAACCATCAACACTAAAATCATAAACTCTAAAAATAAAATCTAAACCCTAAACCCTAAAAAATCAATCCTAAACTCTAAACCTCAATTCTAAATCCTAAACCATCAACACTGAACCTTAAACCCTATAAATAAATTCTAAATATTTAACACTAAAAAATTTACTCTAAACCTCAATTCTAAACCCTAAACCCTGAAACCTCAACTCTAAACTTTACTATCAACACTAAACCCTAAACCATAAAAGTAAACTCAAAACATAAACGCTAAACCACAATTCTAAACCCTAAACCCAAACCCTAAACCCTAAACTCTAAAAATTACCTTAAATTCTAAACCCTAAACTCTAACCTAAACCCTAAACCCTAAAAAATCAACTTTAAACCCAAACCCCTAAACATGAACTTTAAGCCCTAAACCCGAAAACATCAACTCTAAACCCTAAACCTTAAACTTTAAAGTCTATCATGAAGATTAACATATTATCAGGAAGCTCAGCCTAAACACGCTCATGGCTTTCCAAATTTTGTAATACATTATCTTCAATCCGGAAACCCATCCTGAACACGCTCAAGGTTTTCCAAATTTTAGAATACATTATTCTGAAGAATAATATACTAAACTCTAAACCCTAAAACATCAACTCTAAACCCTAAAATTTAAAGCCTAAACCCTAAAAAATTTACCTTAGATCCTAAAACATAAACCTTCAACCCTAAACTCTAAAGGTATTTGGTAATGATGATGAGGAAGACTGAAAAAGATTTCTGCAATCTAGATACGGATCCGTGGTGTGGTCATTGCCACCAGAATTAGTGTAGCCACTATAATCAGTGTAGTAAGTTGTGCTTTTTGCGTGAGCACTTGAGCTTTGCAGAGATGAACTCACTCTGAGGAATACCAAATAGTGGGTACAACTGGTAAGGAGGTTTACTTTGATGAAAGGTATATTTAGGATGGTAGGTTTAAGTGTAGACAAATGATTTATGTACAAAGGGAGAAGTTTTTTAATTCTCCGAAGATTTTTAAAAAGACTTAAGAGAGAATTCTTAGTATAGAGAGAACTAATCTCGGCTGATTAGTTGTGGTAGATGTATTTAGTCGCTTTAGTGATAAGCTTAGTTGTTGCTTAAATAAATGAATCAACTGAAATATTCTCTGCTTATGTGAGATGGTTGCGTAGTGACTGGTTTTGTCTTGTGCCGTTGAAATCTTGCATTGTCCTGTGCTTGCGTAGTGACTGCTTATGTCAATGATTTTTCCAGCAATATTTGGATTCCATGATTAAAGTGTTTCTCTTTCAAATCTATTGTGTATTAATCTTCTGATCCCTTATATACTATAGTGCAAGTCTCACGACCAATAGTATTTTGTCATGTAATTTTAAAAATAAAAAGTTAAATTATGAAAACAAAATCAAAAGTATATTAGCAGTCCACTTAGCCGACAGTTTCTCTTCCACATTTCCAAATTCCACGATCAAATCATCATCCACCATAACTATCTCTATTCCCTTTGTTTTTAACTACTAATAACCTGTCATCAAATTTGATCAAAAACAAAATAAAAACTGTCATTGTTATTTGTGCAAATGATAGATTGTTTACAAACATATTTTCTCGTTTTCTATTCACAAACTCGAGGTATGCATGGGTTGCTTCTTCCCCTATAAATTTTTTTGGTTCTGTGTCATGTCTTTTTGTTCTTGCTACATTTCTTTGGGTTTCACTATTTTCTTTATTTCTACTACAGTTTTTATTAATCAATTTTCATTCCTCGCATACAAGGTTTTTTCCGTAAAACTCAAACTTATTTTTTGTTCCAAGTTAAAAAATATGAGACAGGGGAGAAACATGAATATATTGAAACTTTTTACTTTATATTTGTTTCTTCTTCAAAAATCTCTATTATGTTTTGTACTCTTCCTATACTTCAAGAGATCATTACTAATTAATAATGATTGACTGATGTAGATATCGAAAGATGTAAAAAAGAGCAAACAATCTAACACTTCATTGAAAAGATATCATCAAAATTAGAATTACAGGTAAAAATATCTTATTTTACTAAATTTTTTTATCATATTGCATGAGATTGTTATTATGTCTCTTTTGTTCTGGAAAAACATAAAACTCATGATAATAAAGCATATGATATCATTCTTTTTATGATTTTGGTTAAACAACTATTGAGTTTTGTTGAAAGTCTTGGTTTATTTACCAGGATGTTGAGGAAAAAAAGAGAACAAATTTTAAGTGGTATAACTTTTAAATTAAATAAAAAAGATTTTATGTTGGTATTGACTCTCAAAATGTTTAAATGAGATTTTATATTTCTCGGTCTATTTACCTAGAGAATACATTATCATCTAAGTTCAGAAAATATGTAATTACAATAATAATTTGCTTTGATATTTTGAGAGTAATTACAATTTTTATCAGATAATTAAAGAAACAATGAAATAGACGTGTGCATAGAACGAGACATAATACTAGTTGTATATATTTTTTGACTATGCAGTTGCACTTAGAATGGTATCATACTTGTCTCTGGCTTACTCTGCATTGAACGCATTCTCCATTGTTCCAACTCCTCTGAGAGACTAGATTCGGTGTATGACTACGTGGCCAACCATCGTTATAATAGTTTGGAAAAACTAAGGATTGCTTAGTTCTGAAAGACAAAGATCTGCTTGAGCGGTTTATAGACATAAATGAACTATTTATAATGAATTTACATTTCTATTGCTATCTTGAATAATCAAGCAAAAGAGTAATTTTGTTGTTGTTAATATCAGATATTCTGGAAGGCTTTCCTAAAGGTTTTTTACTTCTTCCTAAAATCATGAATTTCCAAAGTTTCTGTACGGCTTTCCAAAACTATTATACATTCTTCCTGAAATCAACATAACAAAGCTGTCTTCTTCAGATTTTTTGTGGTTAAGAAATA